CTAGTGAAAATTTCTATCCTTAATGGCAAGGGTCATCAATAAAGAATAAAGAAATATATAAAATCTCTCAGATGTATATTTATCAATTTCTGAAGTTGGTAGAACATATATACGAACACAGTTAGTATTTTGAACAGTATACACATTCTTCATCAAGTCTATATCATGCATAAAATTTAAGCAACAGAGATTGAAGTGCCAACATCTTTTGTGCCATAATGAATCCGTAAGAGAATTTGGTAGAGCATGCTCAAATTTTGGTCTCTAGTGAAAATTTCTATCCTTAATGGCAAGGGTCATCAATAAAGAATAAAGAAATATATAAAATCTCTCAGATGTATATTTATCAATTTCTGAAGTTGGTAGAACATATATACGAACACAGTTAGTATTTTGAACAGTATACACATTCTTCATCAAGTCTATATCATGCATAAAATTTAAGCAACAGAGATTGAAGTGCCAACATCTTTTGTGCCATAATGAATCCGTAAGAGAATTTGGTAGAGCATGCTCAAATTTTGGTCTCTAGTGAAAATTTCTATCCTTAATGGCAAGGGTCATCAATAAAGAATAAAGAAATATATAAAATCTCTCAGATGTATATTTATCAATTTCTGAAGTTGGTAGAACATATATACGAACACAGTTAGTATTTTGAACAGTATACACATTCTTCATCAAGTCTATATCATGCATAAAATTTAAGCAACAGAGATTGAAGTGCCAACATCTTTTGTGCCATAATGAATCCGTAAGAGAATTTGGTAGAGCATGCTCAAATTTTGGTCTCTAGTGAAAATTTCTATCCTTAATGGCAAGGGTCATCAATAAAGAATAAAGAAATATATAAAATCTCTCAGATGTATATTTATCAATTTCTGAAGTTGGTAGAACATATATACGAACACAGTTAGTATTTTGAACAGTATACACATTCTTCATCAAGTCTATATCATGCATAAAATTTAAGCAACAGAGATTGAAGTGCCAACATCTTTTTGTGCCATAATGAATCCGTAAGAGAATTTGGTAGAGCATGCTCAAATTTTGGTCTCTAGTGAAAATTTCTATCCTTAATGGCAAGGGTCATCAATAAAGAATAAAGAAATATATAAAATCTCTCAGATGTATATTTATCAATTTCTGAAGTTGGTAGAACATATATAAGCATGTTGTGAAAAATGCTAGGAACGACATTTAATCGGTGGAAATGAGCCTAGATGGTCATTTGATAATTGTTCATAATATTGGAAAATTCATGCTTGGATTGGTTAGTATTCTAGCATGTTGAACAATTAGTGAGTTGAATGATTGATTGTGTCCTTGTGATGTCTAGGATTGAGACATTTGGACCAACCGTGAGTGATCAATCATTGGAGCAAGCTATGGAGCTTGAATAGCTCATTGGAATTGGTAAGCTCATCCTTGTGTTGTGGTATGAATAGGATAGCTTGGATTGATGATGATGAGTTATCCTTGAATGCAATATGTTAATTGCATTACCCTTGTATAGGTGTATATTTGTAAAAGTGGATTGCTGAAACTGTTGGTGAAGAACAAAGGTCGACTGAAGCATTGAGGTAAGCCTTCGGACCTTGGGTGTAATTCCCTTGACTGTTCTACCAAGCCCTGAAAGGGTGGAGGTTGTGATTGTGTATATAAATGCAATAAAATAGTGTAATGCTTTGTTATACGTATGTGTATGCATTTGGTGTGGCATAGGATGGTGTTTCCCTATGTTGGTATGTTGCATGACGATGCGTAAATCATACATGGTAGTTAGCTGGCCAGTAGGACTATTTGCATCTGAGTTTCCTTAGGACAGCTTGAGAGCTCGAGGGATTTCTCCTGGAGATGTATTGCACTTTGCATAGATATGTATTTACTGCATTATTATTGTTATTGCTATTACACTGATATGGAACTGTGGGGTGGAGAGATGCTCCAAGGACCCCTGGTTTACTGGATATATTCGTATATCTCACCCCGTGTTGTGGGGACCCCCTTTCAGGTAAGGATGCTGCAGGAGCCTCTGGTGGCAAGTGGCCATATCTGGATTATGCATGAAATGTGGCATTCCTTTTGAGTTTATGCATGCCTTTGTAGTTGACATGTATAGGAATTTATTTTCAAAGCCTTTGGTCATTTGTATATCTTGATTCATTGGATGAACTTAGCCTATGCTCATGCCTTTGGTTACACCTTTTGTTGATGGGAGCCAAGGGAATGATCATAGTGTTTTGTAAGCTAAGTTCTATGATTTGTAAATGATATGTAATGTAAATGATGCCTACTTGAAATTCAATATATGCATGCTTGTTATGTATTGAGTTGTTGAATTGGTTGGGCTGAAAATCAATTAGGTACCCTTTGTTTAAATTGGTAAACGATGAGAAAACAAAGGTCATGCTGCCCAAATTCTAGCTAAATCTCATGAGGAGAGGTTGGATGTGTGCTAGGATTTAGTTTTGGGGCATGGACAATTGGGGTTTGGAATGGGGATGCATCTTCCCCTAGGCTTGGACTTGAAAAATGTGGGAATTGGAATTCCCTGGCAGCGCGCTTAAGCGCCCAGGAGCGCGCCCAAGCGCCCTGCTGCCCCTCCGTGTGCCAATGCATTCTGCCTCCTCGCGCTGGAGCGCCCAAGTGGGGGCTGAAGCGCCCAGGATTGCGCGCTGGAGCGCCCTGGCTTGCGCTTAAGCGCCCTTTGCTGCAGAAAGTTGGGATGCTTACTGTCCCCTCGTGTTTTAGCGCCCAGGGTGGGGCTTAAGCGCCCAGGGTTGCGCGCTTGAGCGCGCCCTTAGCGCCCTTAGCTCTGCGCGCTAAAACGTCCCAATGGGAGCTTAAGCGCCCAGGCGCGCTTGAGCGCCCTGATGCGCGCTTAAGCGCCACAGGAATGCCTGATGCTTACTGCCTCCTGCGCGCCCTGGAGCGCCCTTAGCTGGGGAGGAGAGCGCCCTAGAGGTTGCGCGCTGGAGCGCCCTGGCCCTTGCGCTTAAGCGCCCTAGAAGCCACTGCAGAAGGAGGCAGAAATCAGAAAAGTCCTATTGTTCATATTTGCGCGCAATTGCATTAGAAAAATTTCGCAATGAATTTTTTAAGCGCCTTTTGATGATGCGCGCTTGGGAGCGCCAAGCTTTTGATGCGCGCTTAAGCGCACACTGGAATGCGCTGATGCTTGACTGCCTCCGTAGCGGTCCGCGCTTAAGCGCCCTTAGCCACTGAAGGAGGAGATGCTTCTGACTCTGCGCGCTAAAACGTCCCAATGGGAGCTTAAGCGCCCAGGATAGCGCGCTTGAGCGCCCTGATGCGCGCTTAAGCGCCCATCCACACTGGAATGCCTGATGCTTACTGCCTCCGTGCGCTTAAGCGCCCAGATGGAGACTTTAGCGCCCGATAGCGCGCGCTTGAGCGCCCGATAGCGCGCTGAAGCGCGCGGGGCCTGTGACCAACACTATCTTGTGTTGCTTCAAATTGTCCTAACTTGGGCTACAGTGCTCCGATTTGAGCGCGGTTTGAAGCCACGCATAGCTAATGAAGAAACCTACAATATAGTAGAGGTTGTGAACTAAATAAGAAGTAAATTAATGGTTTAAAAATGGAAAATGAACATGATGTTAAGCTTAATTTATCTGTTTCCGCAAGGTAATATGGTTATGATCACGAAATTGGGTATTATAAGTTCGGTACGTTTTAAAATGAAAAATTTATCCGGATTTTAATTGAACCCATGTGATTGTAACTGCGCTTAATATCATAATGCGATGTTAACAAACCGGTTCTAGAACGGGGTGTTACACTTTATGGTATCAGAGCAGTTTCGTCGGGAATAACTGTTAGCTATTGTTGAGTATGCTTAGTGTTTGATGCTTTATAGTTGTTTTAGTACTCTGTATGATTATTGCATTTGTGATCACTAAGTGTGGGCCTGATCAACTCACTTCTTTGTGTAACATGTGTAGTGACATGACGAGGAACCGAAACAACCCCGGACCATCAAACACCAATGCTCAGCCAGAACCTGTTTTGGCTGCTCTTGTGAGGCCTAGAAGTGGCCGTGGGGCAACGGGCGTACAGCCTGATCCCGTAGCTGAAGCTCTTGCAGCTGTTCAGAGGGAGTTGGCTGCTAGCAGGCAAGCCAATGAAAATCTGATGAAAACAAATGAAGATTCGCGGACTGCTATGGCCGCAATGATGACCGAGTTGAGGACGTTGAGGGGTCCTAGGCCCGTGAACCGGCAACCCACTCCTCCTCCTCACACTGCTACGCCTTCTCCACCTCCTTCACAGGAAGAGGGTGGAGTGGGTAACAATGAGGGTGAGGGTAGTCACCACTCTGGGAGTCGGAGTCATCACACCGAGGTTCGTCAACCTCGAGTTGAAAATGTTGGTGATCATGAAGTGGAGGAAAGGAGATTGATGGCTTTCCGAAAACACAAACCTCCTTCTTTTAAGGGAGGTTATGAGCCAATGGCGGCTGCAAAATGGCTCCAAGCGATGGAGAAAATATTCAGGGTGATGAGATGCCCGGACGCAATGAAGTTGGCTTACTCTGTTTATATGCTGGAAGAGGAAGCAGAAGATTGGTGGACAAATACTGTGCAGCCATTAGAAGCTGAAGGTCGTGAGATCACATGGCGGTTGTTCGAGACATTGTTCTTGGACAACTACTTCCCTAGAGAGGCTAGGGAACAAAAACAGAACGAGTATAACGATCTCAAGCAAGGGTCGATGTCTATTGACCAATACTTCTCAAAATTCAATGAGTTGGTGAAATACGCCAACTATGGGCGAGCCTTACCCACCCCGGCTGAAATGACCTCCAAATTCCAATGGGGTCTTAATGAGAAGATGTCTCGGAAGATGTCAAATTGTGACATCCGAGAGTTCAGTCGGTTTGTAAACCAGTGTAGAAAGGTGGAAGAAGTGTATAAGGTGTCCCAAACCAAGAAGTCTTCTGAGGCCCAGGCACCTAGTTCCAATAAAGCAACGGGCTCAGGTTATTGGAAGAACAGGAAGGTGCAAGGCAAGAAGCTGAATGCGAATAAGCCCTTTGACTTGTTCAAAAAACCCGGTACTCAGAAGAATTTTGTTGATAGAGGACCTCCTCCCAAGTGCAAGGGATGTGGCAAAGAGCATAGGGGTCCATGTGCTACCGGTGAATTGATTTGTTTTAAATGTGGAAGATCCGGTCACTACTCCAGGCAGTGTCCTCAGAACGAAGCAAGGACTATGGCAGTTCAAGCTACTGCTGTTCCGGTCTCTGTTGTTCAACCTATGCTAGAGTCTCAGACGGTTGGTAGAGTATATACCATGGACCGTCAGCAATCGGAGAAGGCTCCGAATCTGGTGAAAGGTACAATTTACATTGATAATATGGATGTTGAAGTGTTGTTTGATTCAGGAGCTACACACTCCTGTATGTCTGATTTTATGGCCGTTGGGCTAAATTTGCAAATGTATGACATTCGCCCTCCAATGAAAGTGGTTACTGCTACTGGAGAGGAGTGTTATACATCCGTGTTGTGTAAAGATGTCGAATTCAAATATGAAGGCCGAGATTACGTGCTGGATTTTATTTGTTTACCTATGATCAGCCTTCAAGTTATCTTGGGTATGGACTGGTTGTCAAAGAACTGTGTTATGATAGACTGCTGTGGTAAAAGGATTGTGCTTGATGCTGATGATTCTGCTACTAGTTCTTCCCCATATCTATCTGTGTTGCAGGTTAGAAAGGCTTTGAGGGCCGGGGCATTGGGATATGTCTTTGTGGGGGGTTTAGTAGGCGGAAGTCATGAGGAGATTGGCACTATTTCCGTGGTGAGGGAGTTTGTGGATGTGTTTCCCGATGAAATTCCACAACTTCCGCCTCATAGAGAGATTGAGTTCACGATTGATCTGTTGCCTGGTGTGGGGCCTATCTCTCTGGCTCCGTATAGGATGTCACCACCGGAACTAGCCGAGTTAAAGAAGCATATTGAAGAGCTTTCGGCTAAGCAGTTTATCCGGCCTAGTGTGTCCCCGTGGGGAGCACCAGTCATATTTGTTAAGAAGAAGGACGGTAGCATGAGATTGTGCACTGATTACCGTCAGTTGAATAAGGTTACCATTAAGAACAAGTATCCTCTCCCTCGCATAGATGATTTGCTTGATCAGTTGAGGGGTGCTTGTGTTTTCTCAAAGATTGATTTGAGGTCGGGTTATCATCAAATCCGAATTAGGCAGGAAGATATTCCGAAGACTGCCTTCCGATCTAGATATGGACATTATGAGTATCAAGTAATTCCATTTGGACTCACTAATGCTCCTGCGGTGTTTATGGATTACATGAATCGCATATTTAAGCCGTTTCTGGATCAATTCGTGATTGTGTTTATTGATGATATCCTGATATATTCGAAGAGTAAGGAAGAGCATGAAGGTCACTTGAGAACTGTGTTGCAAATTCTCAGAGAGAAACAGTTATATGCAAAGCCTTCTAAATGTGAATTTTGGCTTTCTCAAGTGCAATTTCTGGGTCACGTTATCTCTGCTGATGGAGTAGCGGTTGATCCTAGCAAGATAGAGGCAGTTGTTGATTGGGAAAGACCCAAGACAGTAACAGAAATAAGAAGTTTTCTGGGTTTGGCTGGTTATTACCGGAGATTCATTAAAGAATTTTCAGCCATGGTGTTGCCATTGACCCGTTTGACCCGGAAGGATACTCCATTTGTTTGGACACAAGAATGTGAAGAATGCTTTCAGAGCCTTAAGGAGAAACTAACGACCGCTCCGGTGTTAGTACTTCCCGACCCGGAAGGTGAATTTGAGCTATACAGCGATGCGTCCAAGAAGGGATTGGGATGTGTGCTGATGCAAGATAGGCGGGTGGTAGCTTATGCATCGAGGCAATTGAAACCGCATGAAGAAAATTATCCAACCCATGACCTTGAGCTTGCTGCAATTGTTTTTGGGTTGAAACAGTGGAGGCATTTCTTGTATGGAATGCAATTTGCAATATTCAGCGATCACAAGAGTTTGAAATACTTGTTTGATCAGAAGGAGCTGAATATGAGACAACGACGGTGGACCGAGTTCCTAAAGGACTATGATTTCGAATTGAAATATCATCCTGGCAAGGCTAATGTTGTAGCTGATGCACTGAGCCGAAAATCCGTGAGTATATCAAGTATGATGATCAGAGATTATGATGTGATTGAGAGGTTCAGAGATATTCAATTATCTAAAATCTTTCCATGCAAAGTTTGTGGCTTTGAAATCACAAGCATTGAGAATGAACTGATGACCAGAATCAAAGAAGCCCAGCTGCAAAATGAAAGTGCTAAGCGACTAAAAGGTCAGAGTGGTGTATCCTGCAATGATGAGGGTGTACTACTATATCAGGGTCGTGTTGTTGTACCTAGGCAGTTGGCGGAGGAAGTGATGACAGAGGCTCATAAGGTCATTTTACAGTTCATCCGGGAGCTACAAAGATGTATCAGGACCTAAAGATGAATTTCTGGTGGCCTGGTATGAAGAAAGATATTGCCGAATTTGTCTCTAAGTGTCTCATTTGTCAGAAGGTAAAGATTGAGCATCAAAAGCCTTCTGGTATGTTGCAACCTCTGGATGTTCCTGAATGGAAATGGGAGAGTATCTCCATGGAT